TCGGAAGATGGCCGGAGGAGAGGAGGATGGAGGCAGTAAGGTGGAGAAAGAAGGGGAGGAAGATTGGTTTGTCCATGGATTGGTTACGTGGGATAGAAGAGTGGAGGATTGTTATCTGATTTATGCAGAGAGGTTGGCGGAGAATTGGACTATGTGATTGCGTTGGATTGTTGAATTCATCAAGATTGGTTAGTAACATTTAATGCTTGTAATTAAACTATTGCTTAAGAGAATAAGAGTGCTGTCAAATCAGGATATTTTCTTTTTAGAAGATATGACTATTAATTAATTAATTATTATTAGGAAACGATTCACCTGAAATGATTTTCTGATTATATTATTTGATTTTTTTTTTATAGAAGATTTTCATTAAAAAAATAATAATATTTGTCTAATTTGTACCAGAGTGCTAGCTATAAAATATTTTTCCTCATTTAAATCAGTATATTATTGTTATCATATTTCTGCAGTTAAATCATATTAATTAAATAGTATTCTCTCCCAATATAATACTTTTACCGAGTTATGCACTTGTGCTCGACCAATCCAATTTTAGTTAGACTCGTTAGCCCATTGTCTCTGCTTCCTCAATCCACATTACTTTATCTGATATCAGTTGCACTAGAGAGCTTAAGTTTAATTCTAGGTGCAGAAGATCTCATTTGAGCTACTGAGCAATTTTAAGAGCACATAGCATAGACTGCATACCCTGGATTTTAGCTTGTAGCACATTGTCAACTTGGATGGGAGATTAGAAAAATAAGAGGCACTTCCATGTATAATCTCTAGGAATACCTCCTATGCTAGCTCTGGAGGAAGTTCAGCTACAATCTGTGTTTACTTTGATCCAAGGCTTAGGTGGTTTTCTCCAGTATACTAATTGGATCCTGTTGATTATGGTTGTTGTTGTTCGATCAAGTTGAAGAGAGTTGGCAATTTTGTTAGTGCAATAATTCATGTTTGTTGCCAAATTCCTTATGTATGCCAAAGTATTGATATAGAACTGTTGTTGAGTAACAAGTTTTACCTCATATTTTATTTTGTTTCTAGCCATCCAGATAAACCATAGAGTTATAAGGGGAATCACTTTAGCCTTGATGCTTTTCCAAACCTTCCAGCAATTAGATAGGCTATGCCAAAGAGGCTTAACATTTTCCTTCTATTGTTAAGCAATGGTGTTGTTCTAACCACCTTGATGAAGGGATAGTAGAATAAAAAATGGTTGAAAGACTCTTCTGCACTTCTACAAAATTAACACCAAGAAGGGCATCTTAAAGCTTTAAGTTTTAACAGGTTATCAGTAGGATTAATTTGGTGAAAGCATCTCCATATAAAGAAAGACAATGAAGGGCTCAAGTATTTACACCAAATGCGTTTACCTTAGTCAACATTCTGCCATTTGTAGAGTACTGAGTAATTGAATTTGGAGAGGGTCAGACTCTTTGGGTTTTTGTTGATGAGACTGTCTTTCTTATCAAATAGAATAGGGACATTAATAATGTGCTTACAGTTTTATGTATCAACCATTTAATTTAAATTGTTGGCCGCCCACTGACCAATCCTTCAACAATGCTACAAGGGGAGAGCAAGAGGAAGAGAATCCTCCACAGCCTTAAAAAGCTTCCCATCAAGCAACCAATTGTCCGACCAAAAATCTCTCCTTTTCCCACACCCCAGATGCAAAGATCCTCAGCATGGCCCTTCACTTGTAACAAGTTCACCAAGATTTTGAAGTCACCAAACTTTCTCTTGGATAATACAGGATGAGAGTTTTTGTAGCATTTAGTGAGCATGAATTGTGCCCAAAGAGTGTTCAAAAGCCCAAATTTAATCCACATTTTACAGAAAAAGATGTGACTAAGTTGTTGGAAGTTGTTAAACGCCAAACACCCAAAAGTAATGAGAATGCACAATTTCTCCCATCTAATACAGTGAACTTGGTTATGTTGTCTAGATCAAAGAAATTTATTCAATTTGAGATCAAGTATCTTCTAGGTACTTTTCTTCATTTTAAGCATCTGTAGAGTGTACATAGAAAAGTAACTTAGAATGCACTTTAATGAGGTGATCTTGACCCCATGAGACAAGTAAAGAGATGTCCAACAATTAATCTACTTGGTAACTTTCTCCACCACTTCATTATGCTGGGATTGTTTTCTTTTTCTTTTGATTAACTAGATGCCCAAATACTTCAATGGCAGCTCAACCTTATTGAATTTAGTGAAGTCTCTGATCCAAACTTTACTAGAGGATTTAACTAGCTTGCTAAATAATAATTGGCATTTCTAATTGTTGAGTGATAATCTAGAGACTTCCTGAAACTTAGAAAGAATGCTGCAAGTTTTCTTAACAACAGTTTGAAAATATGATTACATCATCAAAATAAATGAGATGGTTGATAAGATTGGAAGCCTTATGTGCATACATGATATAGTGATGAGCTTGTTGTGCTTCATTAAGCATTCTGGAGAGGTAACCCATAGCAAGTATAAAAATGTAAGGTGAGAGGGGTTATCCTTGCGTTATACCTCTAGATGCCTTGAAGAAGCCCTTGTAGTTACCATTAATAAGCAAAGTTTAATAACTGTTAACAAGCCACATGTTAATCAAAGCACATAAAGCATTTTTGAACCCCTAATGTTGCTAACTCCAATAATAAATTGTCAGCCTATGGAGTTATATGCTTTCCTGAGATCTATTTTAAGCATTAGATTACCTCCTCTACACTTGTTATCAAAGTCCAACAAGATTTCTTGAGTGAGAAGGATATTATCAGTGATATTTCTACCAATGACAAAGGTTGATTGGTTGGGTTCAACAACATTGGAACAGAAAGGTTGTATTTTTTTAACAATGAATTTGCTTACTAATTTAGACATTACTAATGTGAATGATATAAGTTTGAAATGATTCCAGCAGTCTTTTCTCCCATCCTTAGGGATTAAAGTAATGGTAGTGAAAGCAAAGCATTTGGGAAAATTTTCCTCTTTAAAGAAGCTTTGAACAGCAAAAGAAACCACTTTATCCACAATAGGCCATGATTTTTCGTAGAACTCAGTAGTGAAACCATCAGATCCAGCTGCATCATCACCATTGTTGGCCTCATATTTTATGAGGTTAGATTCTTCTCTTTAGGTACCTAGGATCTAGCCTTACGACTTTCATATGGATTATCAAGGTGGTCGATGATTTTTATTACAATTTGATGTTTATTACAATTTGATGTAACTTTCATACCCCTTCACGCTATCAAAGGATAGATTTTAGTGGATTTTCTTGCAGCGCACTCACTTTCATCTTGGTCCCCTCTCAATGATAACCTGCTAGACGAGCAGATACTACAAGTAGAATCATCTAGTGTTAGACGTTGAGAAATGTATTTTTATGGAGCTTTATTAGTTGGAAAGCATACAAACATTTATACCAGGTAAAACAGGGATTGCTCTGATTTTGGTCACCCAAGATCAAGGAATGTTAAGGTTTTCCTACCACCTTACAGAGCCATGCACCAATAATGAAGCAGAGTATGAAGCATTGATCACTGGGTTAGAATTTGCAATATCAATGGACATAGCAAACATTGCCATCTACCGTGACTCAAAACTTGTCATTCAACAAGTTGTCAGATAATACAAGATTTTGAAACTGAGGTTAGCAGATACCACTAGTATGCAATGAAGTTGTTAGAACAAATCTCCAGTGTGACACTATATAGGATTCCTCAGGGAGATAATGCTCATGCCGACGCTTTAGCTAAGCTTGCTAAGGAATTGGCATGTCCACCGAAGGATTCCATTGATATTACAATATAAGGACGTCATGTTTTGTCAAAGATCGGCCTCAACAATTTATGCGATGATCGGTCAGCTAGCACTAATTGTAAATATGTAGTTCAAACCCAGTAAAAATAAATTCAGTTTAATAATTTTATTTTTTGAAATCTCTAAGTTGTCAAACCCGTAATAATAACGCAAATATATGTATTGCTTAAGTAATAAAGGGCTCTAATGGAGTCTTAAGTATCGATACCACAGGGAGTTGGAAATTCTTATGGTTATAATGTTAAACATGATATTCAAACTGTAAAACTTAAGTAAGCAAGAAAAATCTAAAGTAAATTTAATGTGTGCTAAAGAAAATGCAGTTGGAAGAACTATGTTAACTAAACTGATTGCTAAAGTTCAAAAGTAAACTTATAAAGACTAAACCAAGTTTTGTAACGAAGTCTCCAAATTTGAGAAAATATCCTTCACCTTTACAATGAGTTTATGGAATGTGAAAAAAATAAAATTATTTTAAAATAAAGATATAAAATTGTATTTTGCCAAATAGGAACAATCTTATTCTTTACCCTCTAAGAGTGCAAAATGAACATTGGTTAATCCTGGGTTTGATCCCTAAATTTTTGGTTAGGTTGAGAGGATACTAGCTCTCACTGTAGAGATTTCACTTCTCCTTCGCCTGAAGGCTAACAACCTTGCTTTATATTCCAAGCAACTGAAGAAAATTGGAGATTTTAAATGTCACCTTAAAATCTCTAATTTTGCATCCATCAAAATATATTTCTCTATTTATTTGCATGCAACCCCATTGATTACATTCTCACCCATGAAATTGAATGTGACTCTTACCTTATTGTAGAAATATAGCTCTTTTGGATCATATGTTTCTCAACAAATTTTAACCTTTTAATTGGCCATATCAAAAAGTAAATGAAGATCACACTTCAAATCGTCACAATTTATTGACATTTAAAACCTTATAAAAGAAAACTAATTCTTCACAAAACTATATCTCATTGTAGGAAGAAAGATAAAGAAGACTACTTAGAATTCATGAGAAAGATACGACAAAACACGGAACTCATATATAAAAAAATTTTTAGAGAACAACAAAAGAAAAGAACACAACTTATCTCACACTCCTTCCCAATTCCCAAGAAAATCCTTAGTAGAAGTTCCCTTTAAGCATGT